ATCGTACCTGCACGAAGTAAAAGAAAAGTCAGTATCGAGCAAAACGCGTAAATAAATGACGAGTAAAGAATTTCAAACAAACAACCTAACAGGCGGGCTGCCTCCCTATAGGTCGAGCATTCCACCAACGCCTTGGTATCAATCGGGCGAGCCTCGAATGTCGGGTAACCGTCCTTGTCGAGGATGTCATTCCCTTCCCGTGTAACCCACTAGGCGGGATGAAAACCGTCGACAAAGTTACAGAGAGCCGCATACGCCCGTTGATCCTCCGTGCACATGTCCCCGACTGCAGTGTGGAAGTAGCCGGTTCCATGCTGGAAGTGCCGAGACATCCAGTACACCGGGAACTTAGCCCGACGTCCTAGTACGGGGCTCCCGTCATCGGTCACCATGGCCTCCCCGTCATCATCGCTGACCGGCCCTTCCTCCTCGAAGAGGGAATCCACAGCAGAGTCAGTGATAGGGTGTACCACATACCACTTATCCTTGAACCCCCTCACAGAGTCCATGTACATCCTAAACAGTCTCCTCGACTGCTTCAAGGACACCCAGCTGTGCTTCCCTCCTCGGGACTGGCGCTGTAGGTGGAAGACCCTAAAGAAGAGAGGGATGGTCGCCCCTATCCTTAAGTAGCGGCACGTCAGCTCAAACGCCCGGATGAAGGCGAGAGAGTTAGGGTGTAGCTGGGACGGGGCCAGCTCCAAATGCGTAAAAACCCCGGTCTCAAAGTCTGTGAAAGGCAGCCGCAAACCCAAGTCCTTAAACGCGATCTCGTACATCGCAAAACTGTAGTCCGGGTACATCGAACAAATTCTGGCAGTGGTCGCAGGCAGCATGACCTCGAAATTCGGTTGAAAGTCGGGCTGGTCCTGCCCCCCTTCAATAGCGATGAACGGATGTCGGTCATCCCGACTGTATATCGACGCCGTCCCCCGAGGCTCGGCGCCCACCCATTCCAGCGATGGGTCGGTCACAGTGTCTATAAGGTTGGCCGACTCGTCGGCACTTTGTTCTTCGCTGTCACGACGACCTGAGGAGCTCGGCTCATCCGCCATGGTTACCTGCAGAGCACGGGAAACCAATCAGATTGAGCATGAAGCCCTATGCTCGACATAATCATGTCGTCCATACACTACCACAAGTCCATTTTCACAAGTGGATGCCTCCCCGACTCTCCTGAATCCAGTGTTCCTCCACAAACCAACTGCGCGGCCACTCTTCAAGCATGTCGATCCGGGGTATGAACATGGCGAGCCGCATTATGAAGCCCACGGCCACGACCATAAACATACCGGGCACCGGCATGAATCAGGCGCCCAGGATCATGAATACCCCGGGCAGCTCTGAAGTTTTTCACCTAAAACTAAGAACGTGTCGGCCACAAGTATGCGTTTGCCGGTCCTAGACGTAAATCTGTCGGGCAAAACACGAGTTTACCGGGCTAATCCCACATTAACGGTCCTAAAACATCCACAATTTCCTAGAATCATGCATTCTAAAACAAGAAAATAAAGAAAATGGATCACTTACTTGGATCAAAGTTGAGATTCGGCTAAGAAATGAAGAATCTGAGACGAGAAGTCACGGTTGGAGAGAGTGTTGAGGGTTGCAACGAAGAGAGCACGGAGAACAGAAAGCGTATTATGGGGCCCAAAGACCCTATTTATAGGGATGACGTGGAATACCAAACGTCACCTCGTTCAGCCACGGACTCCGTCTCCTCGACGCACTGCACCCAACGCAATGATGGCCCTACCCCCCTAGGGTGGCGGCACAACTCCCGAAAGATGCCTCATGTGCTCGACTGACGCGCCCGGTACGGATCCTCCACGCATCCACCACCGACGACGTCTCCGAGCACGTCACGAGGAGACCCCTCGAGGGTCCACGCCTCCATTCCGGGCACGAGACCTCAGCGACTGAACAACTTGGTTTCAAGTCATGGCTCCTCGCAAAGGAACCACGACTTGGGGGGCTCCTGTTCTGGACTGGGCCCGACATGCCCAAGAGCATTACTAAGGCCCAGTCCAATGGGACTCACCAAGGACCACAATGGGCAAAGGCCCAATCCAATGGGACTCACTAAGGACCACAACGTCCATGCCCGACACCCTGATGTCCACCTCGACATCTCAGTGTCCAGCCCGCGCTACGAAGTCACGCTCGACAGACTGCCGTCCAGCTCTATGCCCTGGCTTCCAGCTCGACATTCGCTGTCCAGCTCGGGGTCTTGGCGTCGAGGTCGACACCATGCTGCACTGCTCGACATGGACTCGAGCTACCTTGCTAGGGCAGACTTAGTCCTCTATTGCCCCAACGATACTCCGTAAAGACCGCGTCTCTGTCCGCCCGCACTTCACGCAGCACCTCCAGGAAGGGGACCACGTGCTGATCCCCACTACCCACGTAGAACCTGGCAGTTCCTCCATTGGGCCAAATCCGCCCGGCCCAATGAAGGAACCTTGGCCCAGCGCTGGGGGCTATAAATACCCTCTGTTTCCAGAGGGTCAGATAATCATCAATTCTAACCTCAACTCTATTATCTGCTAGTACTCCCACTGACTTAAGCATCGGAGTGCCTTGCAGGTACCCCCCCCTCCTCGTTCAAAAAGCCTTCAGCTCGGAGCAGCCGTGACGGTCCAAACCTTCTGATCAGGTCAGATCATTATACAAAATAGAATAAAAAAAGTTATTTCTTCATCTTTTTTCCTCCTTATTATTTAATATTTTGATTTATAAATATTATATTTTATATATTCATAACTAAAATTATAGTAAAAATTATATTGTTTTATCTGGTACGTAGACATATCAAGCAAAATTGAAGAAAAAAAATTGTTCAATATATTAACCATCAAACACAGTATAATATAAAAAGTTGTCTTGTATTGTTTAGTATTGTTATGTCCATACTTCTTATTTTGCAAATCAAACTTATCCTTCAGGTGTGAGTACATGCATTGTAAACTGAAAATTTATAATCCTTTTGCAGGGTAATAAAATTTTGTCCAAATAACAAATCTGGGAATATTTAATGAAAAGGTAAAATGTGGAGTTGATTTATTTGTTAAAGTAGATGATGATTATTTGCTATCTCTTCATAATTTTCTTTAATATTTAAAAAGTAATAATATATCATTAAAATTTGTACTAAAAGAAAATGAAATATTTTTATACACAGTAACACATATATTTTTCATTTAATCATCTATTATTTAAAAGATTTGAAATAATTAAATATAGACAATATAAAAATTAAATAAACATATTACAAACAACAACAACTACGCCTTTTCTCATTAGGTGAGGTTGGCTACATGAATCAACTTTATCTATAATATTCTATCAAGGACCATACTTCTATCTAAATTATTAATTTTGAGATCCTTCTTGATAACTTCTCTTATAATCTTTTTGGATCTTTCTCTTTCTCGAATTGTTTGTCTTCTCTCCATCTCGTCTACTCTCCTTACTATAGAGTCCACAAGTTTTCTCTTTACATGCCCAAATCACCTAAGTCTATTTCTCACCATCTTCTCTATAATAGGCGCTACTCTAGCACTCTCTATTAATTTCATTTCTAATTTTATCATGTCGAATCTTACCACACATCCACCGCAACATCCTCATCTTTGCTACACTTACTTTATTCTCGTGTTAGTTCTTAACCGTCCAACATTATGTCCCGTACAAAATCGCGGGTCTTACCGCAGTCTAATAAAACTTTCCCTTTAGCTTTAGCGGTACGTTTGCATCACATAAAACACTTGATGCCTTTCTCCATTTCATCCATCCAGCTTGAATACGATGATTTACACCCCCTTCTATTTCTCCATCATTCTGTATTACAGACCCAAGATATTTAAACGGTGTGATTTGAGGGATAATATGGTCTCCTACTTTCACCTCTAAGTTAGAAATCCTGCTTCTTTTATTGAAATTATATTTCATATACTCCCACTTACTTCTACTTAGGCGAAAATCATGTGTTTCTAAAGCTCTTTTCTAAATTTTCAACCTCTCATTTAACTCTTCAAAGAGGACTATATCAACGGCAAAAAACTTACATCTCGACGCTATCTTTTGGATTTGTTAAAAATAATATTTTTTCTATCCATTCAAAGCTGATAGTGACTTATTAAACAATATCAAATGGTTATTCTCTTACACATGCTATAGTAATAATTTAATAGGTGTAATTTTTTTAAATTAAATACATAAAATCTACCCCTATTTATTTAAACATTGAAACAACTCTATTTTATAATAATAGTTCAATATAGTTATATTTTATAATAATAGTCCAATATAGTTATGCAGATTCAATATAGTTATGCAGATTACATTGGTAAATGGAAATGCTATAGTCTAATATTAGTTCTCTCCACTGCACCAATAAAAATACTAAATCTATTTAAAAAAGAAATCAAAAACAAAACTTTTATAAAACCAAAACTCCAAAAACAAATAAACTCAATTTCAAAAACAAAACAAAAACCAAAACTTTGTAAATATATATATATATATATATATAACACAAAAACCAAAAACCCCAATTATATGCTCCTCTCTAAATCATCCTATATTAGTTGTAAATCACCGGTTGAAAACCAAAGAAAACAAAAAGTCACATAGAGTACTGAATAAAAAGAGAATAGATAAAAATATTCAGAAAATATAAGCTGAATGCAAATGGATTATTTTAAAATAAATATCAAAACCTTTTTCTTTCTTGTGTGAGTGTAAAAAGAGAAGAATGTGAACCAGTAAATAATAATCATAATACTAGTACTGTTTATCATCAATAACCAAACAAGTGATAGTGAAGAAACAATCCTCATAATTTTGATTATCCTAACCAAAGAGCAATCTTGAGTAAACATTTACTTTCAAATAGTAAATTAACAGAAGGGAAACAACAGATGGTCCAGAATTCGGACTATAAAACTGGTAGATCTTCAGAAAGAAAAGGGGGCAAAAAACTCAAAAGCACTTGATACTTAGGTTGTTCTAGGGGTGGCCCATTCAACTCTAAGAATGAGATTATCGTAGCCATATCCATTGAGTTTGTTGATAGCCCGCTGAGCATCTTCCCTGCTGACAAAGTTAACAAAGCCAAAGCCTCTACTCATGCCAGTCTTTTGATCTATAGCAACATAGACCCTGCTCACAGCACCAAAAGGCCTGAAAAGCTCCATCAAATCAGGCTCCCTTGTGTCCTCCGAGAGGTTGGTTACCCGAACAGAATTCTCATCGTTCCTCCGCCTCATGTCTGACCCTTGTGTCCTTGAAGCACCTTCTCTCAGGCTAGGAGGTACATATGTACCCTTAGTCGAACCAGCAGGAGCCGCAGCACCATCTGCAGTTGGAGGTTTATCAACAAAGCCCTCAGATGGCTGTGCGAGATCCTTATATGGACATCTTGAAGTCCAATGGTCTCCCTTCTTCCCACAAGTCCTGCACACCATAAGAACAGCACCTTTGTTGAAAGAAGCCAATGGATCAATATTCGCATCCTCCTTGCTGGAACCTGTAAATACAGAGAGATAATTACATATATCATGATATTTATACAAAATTCCTCCATTAGAAAAGGTTGAAAGGGAGGTTAATTAAGACAAACTGAATCCATGCATATGTGAGAAATTCCAGTAATACATATTCAAAAGTAAGGAATTTCACGAAAATAATAGCATCCAAGAAGAAAATTTAAATACAATAATTCAGTTATTCATAAGTCCAAACAATCAAATTATTCTGGTATTAGAATTAACTCCTACCTTGTTTAATGACAAACAGATACATAACAATTCACCTGAAACTCATTGCATTAGAAATCGGGCATGATTTCTTATTCTGAATTGTGACAATAAACAATCTTAATTTCAAATAAAGGTGACAACAATCATGAAAAATAATGGTAAACTCTTAACTCCAGGGTTTTTGATGCTAAAAACCATAATTATGATCTGAAATTATCTAAATCCTACAACCACATTTCAAAACCCTAAAATTGTCATTCTTTAACATACCGTTGATAGTGATATTAAAATTACTCTAGTGATTCATTACTCATTCTACAAAAATAAGGGTTTCAATAAAAAAAAATCAGATTCAACAGTAATAAAAACAAAAACAAAAGCAAGAGTAAAAGAGAAAATAACCAAGAGGTTTGGGGCGTTCGAGAACGATTTCTTCAGTGGAGACCATAGTGAGGCGAGCACCAACATCTTCCTGAACAGCATCTCCAAACTTCGGCCACGAACGGCGTTCAACGGCGCGTTTGCTGAGACGCGCGTTGGCGAGTTTGCGGGTGCGAGTGGTTGTTGTGATCTTAACCTTATTACCATCATCGTCGAACTGGTACTCGATAACCTTCTTGATTCCGTTTTCGTCAGGACCTATGATCTGCCGTGGAGGTAACAGAAAATCGAGATCTTCGCCGTCGTCTTCTTCCAATTCTCCCCACCTGACCTTCGCCGGTTCGTTTTGAATCGCCATGTTTTCTGCCGCCGGAAAGAGGATTGGGATGTTTGCGCTTAACCTAGCTTTGTCAAACGTTGGGGGTATTTTGGGAAGTTGAAATGCCTGTGTTTTGTGTTAACGAGTTATTTTTATTCAAGAGTTTTTACTCTTTATTATAATTAAATCATCATTTGATAGATTAAATTAATATATATACAAAAGTTATTATTCTTGAATACTAAGGAATTTTTTATTTTCAAAACAAATATATATTCTAAAGAAATTATCTGTAATTTGATTTAGTATACAAATGATATTATTGCAATACCAATAAATAAAATAATTAAATTGATTAAATTTTTTCTTAAATACTTGAAATTTTTTAGAGTTTACAATATTTTAAAAGTTTACTCTCTATTCTAAAATAACTCTTTATTATAAAATACAAATAAGAGTTCATTCATGATTTTGTTTAAAATATAATTTATGTTGCATTAGAAGCACTCAATACGCCTTATTTTTATAATCTCATTTTTTTTTCTTTAACAACAATAAAATCAAATCAATTGGAGTATTAGATTTTTTTGTAATGGAAAATTATTAAAAATATAATAATTATTATTTATTATAAATCAATTAAAAATAAATTTTTAGAAACGTGATTGTAGGTTAAATAATTGTTTTGTGGTAAATGCAATTAATTGAAAAAGTGGGTGAATTGACAACGTGGGTATTATATTTTTTAAGGGAAGTTATTTAAAATTTAAGTATTATTATTTATTGTAAATAAATTAAAAATGAATTTTTTGAAACCTCATAGTAGATTAAAATGGTTTTTTGATAATGAGAATTAATTGAAAAAGTGGGTTATTGGATATATTTGAAACATTAACTTTATAGAATATATTTAAAATATTAATGAAAAATATTCTTAATGAAAAATAATATATGATATTATGACATGATATTAGAAAAAATAAGATTAACTTAAAAAAATTAGTTTTTTTTATGATAAAACTTTAGCATTTATACTAAAAAATGATACAAATATTTGTGTTTATAAAAAAACATGACACAATTATGACGGAGAATACACAGCACAAATTTATTTTTTATTTTTTTAATAATTTATATATATTTTTAACCATCACTATACTATATTTATTTAATATTTATAACGGTATTGTGTGATTCATACGAACGCACGGGTAGATGACTTCTTTTATTTTTCTACTAAAGTATACATTTTTGACGGATCCGCACTACTTAATTTATATATCTTTATGTACATTTCTTAACCGTCGTTATACCATATTATTTACTATTTATAACGATATTGTGTGACTTATGCGAACGTACATCGATTTTATATATATGTGAAGTGTACTATACCATATACTCATATAGTTTTCAACATAATTTTCATGTATATCCGACCACTATTACAGTTTGACAAATGTGTTATTCTTTTTATATTTTATATACATTTATAAATATAATTATATTATATTTATTTACTATTTATAACGATATTATGTGACCCATACAAACGCACAGATAGACGACTATTTAATTATTTCATATATTTTTCTACTAAAATATATATTTTCGACGGATCGATATTATTTAATTTGTATATCATTTATATACATACGAACACACGGGTAGATAATCGATTTTATATATGTGTGTGTGAAGTGTATTACTTCATATACTCGTATGTTTTTCATCATAATTTCTATGTATATTCTGACAACTACTATAGTTAGATAAATTAAATTAATATTTATATGACAATTATTATTGAAACATTTTTTCTCTTATGGTTAGAAATAAATCAGAAAACATAAATTTGTATACATAATAAATAAAAATTACCAAAATTAATATTTTTGTGTTTCTTCATCATTTGTATGTGTTTTTCTCTTTTTTTTTAGCTAAATAGAAATTTTCTTCAATGTTCCTGAAAAAATTCCAGACCATTGGTTAGATTAAAATAGAGAAAATATAAGAATAAAAAAATATAGAGGAAGAAAAGTAAAAGTGAAAGTAAAAAATTTAAAATTTGAAAGGAAGAAAAGATGAATGAAAAATGTTTTTTTTTAATGATCCCTCGTATATTAGGAAAAAAAACATAGACAAAACTAAGGAAAGACACCAATCCCACAAAAATGAAGGAGACAAAACCAACTCTCTCAAGAGAATGTGAATCTATAAAAGGTAAATCTAATCTGTTATTTACATAATTCTTCTTTATATTAAGAAGAATGGATTCAAAAATGGTTAGAGAAGTTAAAATTAAGTCTAATTAAATTAGTTAAATAATCAACACGAGTGTTATCTTTTTAAAAAATGTGAGATACATAGAGATGTTTTTATAGAAGTATGAAATGCAATTCTCCTAATTTCTCCCGAGTAGCCATGACATTAGAGAATGATTGACAAAAGCGCTCACAACAAGTTGAAAATTCGACTGAATTCAAAACTTATTCCAACCTTTACTCTTAGTAATTTTCATAGTTTATAAAGTAGTCTAAAATTCAGCAATAGACAAGAAAGGCAAAAGAATATTGACAGCAAAAACTAAGAAAATGTTTCTGAAATTTGCGTGCAAAATACCCCCACTACCCACCGAGGGAGCATTGAGAAGTAAAGAAAGAGAATATCAAATAGAAATGTAAAGTTATAGAAGGAAAGGAGAGAGATTACGAATAGACAGAAAATTAGACTTTTAAATGAATGATATGATAGTGATGGTTGAAAAGATGAACATTTTCCAAAAGCTAATAAATAGAACCAGTTAGATATGGACTAAATTTTTTATGACATTTGGAAAATTGGTCAATTGAAGTATATAGTAAATTAAATTTTTTTTTAGCAATAATCATATTAAAAAAAAAATATAAATAATTATATTTTGGAGAAATTTACGCAAACGATCATGTTTCAGAAAACGTTATAATACAGTAACCATTTCATATGGCGCATGCATTGATTTTTTTAAAGGAGACGTCAAGTGAGATGACGCCTAGCCATCTCTTAATTTTTTTTAATTTTTTCTGTTTACCTGCAGATTTGACTTTTCTTGAAGATTTACTTGCGAACTATTTTCTCACAAATAATTTCGTAGGATAATCTGCAGGTAAATCCGCAGGTAATGTCAAATCTGTAAGAAAATACACAGGTAACTGAAAAAGTTTGAAAAATATATAAGAGACGCCAATTCAAGTGGTGCATCCTCTTTAATTTATTTTTTTTGGAAACATAGTTATTTGCATAATTTTTTCCGTTAACAAGGTTTTTTGCGTAATTTTCTCTAAAACATAATTATTTATATATTTTTTTCAAAACATGATTAGTGTTAAAAAATATTCGATAAAGTAATTTATAAACAGCATTTAGCCTTATATTTATGTGTTGTCAAAAAACAAAGAAAAAGAAAAATTAGTTATTTTAGATACATTTGTTTTTTTTATATTATAGATAGCTAACCACCGTGAGGTTGGATACTATTGATTATAAACAATTGCTAATTCTTAAAGCAGCCTCCATATCATTTTTTATTGTATGTTTGATTTCATATTTGAAACATTTAAAAGTGATTTTAGACATGTACAATTAATTTTGATGTTCTCTAGTATAATTGATTTCTTTTTTTTTTTAGAATTTATTTTACTTAAAATTATGATTTGTAGCTTTTAAATTTAAATATAATTTTTATTAAAATTTAATATTTAATTCACTTCAAAAAAAAATATCTAAACATAAATTAATTTATCTTCAACTTGCTTTTACCAAAATTGATTGTATAAAATCAATTAATTTACCCTGAAAAACTAAATACTAGTACACACTTACCCTGAAAAGAGAGAGGACTTTGAGTCTAAACATAAATTCCACATTTTGAGTATCAGATCGAAAATATTAAAAGATATGAATGGGAGAAATAGAGCAAGTTTGATAATGAAATATTTATTCAATATACATGATTCAAAAGAAGAAAATAATTTTTATTAAAATTTTATTTTCCTTTGACTCACTATTTTTTCCTTGATTTATTTATTTTTATATTGATAAATACGAATATTTGATTCAACTTTTTTAAGTATCAATTGAGAATATTTATTTTACAGTTTAATTATAATAATGCGTACAGGAATAACAAATATTTCTTTAATATTTTACTATATTAATTGTGATAAATATTTTTTCATTAATTTTTATTTAATTATATGCTATATACATATATTGTTACATATATTATACATGAATGTCAAGTATTAATATTTGGCTCATAAAAAACAAAACTCTTTAATTAGTGCAATTAAAAACATAAATGTTTGCTATAATTTTAAAATATTTCTGCCACATCCTACAACATTTATTGATAATATTAAAAATAATTTAATCATCTCTCACTCAATCACAACTTTTAATCATCTCTCACTCAATCACAACTTTATATCTACAAAAATATAGAAGATAAATTGTCATGAAAAAGAAAATAAATTAATGCATTGAAGTTCTTTTAAAAAATACACAGAAAAGGAAAAGATTAAAAATCAAAATTATTAATCCATTCAAATTATGAAAAGAAAAAGAAATAATGAAGTTCATATGAAGATATATTTGAGAAATTATTCATTTTTTTTGTCTGAAAGAAGCTATAGAAAACATCAAAAAGCCTTTCTGCCTTAATGTATATTGACAAAAAGCTATAGAAGCTATAGAAACCATCCAAAAGCCTTCCTTCTAAAATAATAAGACATAATGTATATTGACAAATATGATTTATATATTTTCTATTGCATATATATATATATATATATATATATATATATATATATATATATATATATATATATATATATATATATATATATATATATATATATATATATATTTAAAATAATCACATTAATTAATGCCTATTGGATAGTATAATCAATATTAAAATGTTAGGTTAAATTAATTCCAAAATAAAAAATTATGAAAATTTCATAATCTGCTTTTTATAATGGTATATCTAAAATTAT